AACTACATATTCTGGAGTCATAGTAGGAAATTGCATAGTATCGAATGTAGGGACCTTATTCTGCCACGAAAAAGGCCCGCTTTCCTTACCAGGCCGTTACTTTAGGCGTGCCACTAAATGTTACATTTCTTTGTATGGATAAATTAATTATTTCAAACCAAATTGTATCTCCTTTTTCTCAGCTCTCATTTTTCCTGTTATTTCATATTTGTCATCTTTCTAAAAGCATGGGTTTATGTCTGTCCTTAGGAGTCTGTTGGTTGGAGACTCTTGCTGATGATATATGGGGGGTTCCCCAGTACCCACCTGAGGGAAGAAGGAGGAATCCTGGGCAGTGCCCCCCAACAGTGAAGGTCTGAGATACACCTCAGCTTTTCCTGTGGATTTACCCCTCGATTCATCCGATGCTTATTGATCATCCACTGTATCTCTGCGTGTGCCACCCACTGCAAAGTGCCACATCATCTCCGCAGATTAAGAAAGGGGGGGGCAATCCCCACCCACCAGGGTTTACAGCTTGCTAGGTCATCCAGTATGTCTGTACAGGCAAAGGCACAAGAATGCACCGGGCACGGGAGGGCAGAGGGAGGACTGGGTAAAGTGCTTGGGAGCCCAAAGACGCCACTTCAGTTTGTAGCAAGACCTAAGAGGTGGTGGCACTTGTGCGCCTGGGTGGCTCAGTTGGTTAAGCGACTGCCTTCGGCTCGGGTCATGGTCCTGGAGTCCCGGGATCGAGTCCCACATCGGGCTCCCTGCTCAGCAGGGAGTCTGCTTCTCCCTCTGACCCTCTTCCCTCTTGTGCTCTCTATCTCTCATTCTCTCTCTCAAATAAATAAATAAAATCTTTAAAAAAAAAAAAAAAAAGAGGTGGTGGCAGTTGACCAGGGCTGTGAAGCCTGGATTGGATGGAGAAAGTACATTCCGGGAGGCACCCTGGTACAGAGGCAGGAGGCACATGGCACACCAGCCATGATCATCTTCTGGACGGTCACTGTGGGGTGGGGGGCCGTGGGCAGAGGACAAAACAGGGTCTTTGCCTGTGCACCTCTGTGGCCTGCATTCTTGGGTTACAGCCTCGTGGCTGGGTTGGCCGCGTTCCCAGACCCCCTTGGGGCGAGTCAGGGTTTTGTGTTGAAATGTGTCCTTGCTTTTGCATGGCCTCACCGCCCCTTCGTCCTCTGTTTCATACACGGTGGAGCAGGGCTGCTCCGGCCTAGTGAGCGAGCCCCCCTGCCCAAGCAGTGAGCGGCATTTCTGAGTGAAGACAGGGGACGTGTTGAGGGAGGGGCCAGGCGATCCTGCAGAAGCTAGTTTCTTGTCATTCTGTTGTGGGCTATGCTCCAGAGCTGATGCTGATGAGTTTGAGATGAGAGGAAGGTATCCACTGCCGGGCCCAGATGTTTGACAGTGTATTAATCTCTCTGCTCTGGAAAAGAGAGAAAGTAAAGTTGTTCTGATTCTTTTTCTGGTGTTTCCAGCTCAGCCCCCTTTCTTAGTAGAAAATCCTTGTTAAATATCTGAGGCCCTTCCTGGCAGCAGAGGAGAGAGCATGGGGCTCCTCCAGATACCGGTCAGTTATAAAACATGCTTGGGTTGAGTGATCGGGAGGGAGGACAGTACTATTACCCATCTGCAGATAGACTCACAGCTGAGCGCAGTGACCTGGCAGCCACGCCGGGAACTGCGGACGGATGGCAGAGTTAGCCCTGGGCCCTCTCCAACACCCATGACTGGCTAATGGTGCCTCCTGGGCCGGCCACTGCCCTGTCCCCACCCTGCCTCTGTGTGCCCTCACGTCCAACTCCGTGAATCAGCCATCACATGTGTATGCTGGGAGGCCGGCAGGAACCACGCGTGTCTCCTGCTGGCCAGCACTGGTCATGGTGGATGAGCTGGGTGCGGCAGGGTTCTTTGCAGGGATTAGGGGGATGGGGAAGCAGAGGCTACTGGCGCCACGTGCGTGTGGGCCCCCATTGGGCAGCGGGACTGCTGTGCAGACGGGACAGCTGAGTGCTACACCCTGCAGCTTTGTGCCTGGCCTGTGGGCGCACTGAGAGTGGCTTGGAAGTGCACATTCAGATTGGGTAGCGCCACAGATAGAACGTGGACCGTCTCATCCTTGTAGAGAGCTTAACTGAAGAGAAAGGAAGCAGATTGCCTTTTATATTAGGGCCAAATGCAGGGTCCCTTGGCATCCATTTTCCTGAATTCTCTTTCTCTAGAGGAAACACATTGAAGCCTAGAAATGGATGTTTTAAGACTTGTTTAAAAAGTTCTTCCAAATTAAGGTCTTCTCAAACACTAGGCACGGTGTTCTCCTCACCCCTGTTCCTGGTGGTTCTGAGTGACAGACAAGCCCAGACCCCCGTCTTCCTCTCTCCCCTCCCCTTTGCTGCAGCAGAGCAGTTCAAGCCAGGGTTTGGGGGATTTAGGGACAGAACAAACTAGATTAACTTACATATTGGGTAAGGGTATACATTAAATTACCACTCTCCCCTCTAAGTTTGTAGTAGTCAGCTGTCTCAGTGGTCAGCCACATACAGTCTTGTCATATCTTTAATGCTTGTTTCCTCAGTTTCTAGGGCTGCTTTGTGTTCTTAAGTATTCAACATGACTTAACTTTTGTAAACATTTGATATATATATACACAAAGGACCATAGGCTGTTCCAGGAGGAAAACTGGGCAGTTCCTTTAACACAGCATATCCAGGAACTGCATTCCTCTTCCTTTGGTGAAAGTTGCTTGCTGTTGGTAGATCTCTAACGGTAGATCCTGGAAAACCTCTTGGAGGAGGCACCTGAATTACAAGTCAGATACAGCCTGAAGAAGGAAGGCCTTCCTGCTCTGCCAACTAGCTAACCGATATCCCTGCATTCTGGGAGGGTCCCAAGAGTATGGGCCTTGAGACAAATCAAGAAAGAGACCCAGTACTGGCTGTTAGAAAAAGATGAGCCCCAGGATGTGAGACCTGGCAGTTGGCTCCCTTAGATGAAGAGGGAAAAATCCAGGTGCCTCTCAAGGGTGAAACCTTCCTGAAAACTGCCCAAACAGGTCGGGGAGAAGTGGGGTGAGCTTGACCCGCCAGGGCAGGGCCGTGGAAGCCTCCAGGAGATGTGAACACGACTGCAGGGGCCACTCTCCACCTGCACGTGCATCTGTGCGTCAGGGAGGTAGCCCTGTCCTCACCAGGGGCCAGGCCAAGCGCTGAGGAGGCTCAGCGCTCCCCACAACATGACTTCGGTGCTGTTCACAGAACATATGACCTGCGGCCACCTCCCCAGAGAATGCAAGCAGAGGAGGACCCCAGCACACGCAGAACTGTGCTGAACTGGATGCAGAATCCCAGAAAAACAGAATTTGAGGATGGAAAGGGCCCACTGGGCTCCACCAGATTTGCAATGAGGAACCAGAGACAAGAGAAGCGAAATGAGTTTCCCTAAATAGATGAGAGACAGCGCTGGGATGAAAGCCATTCATCTGCTGACACGCTTTTCCACACACGTCTGTTGAGCACCTAGTGGGGGCGGGTGTGGCTCTCGGCCCTGGATCCAGGTTTGCTGACGCAGACACCAGGGTTCTTCTAGGCACCAGGCCTCCCGCCCCGATCGAAATCTGAAAAGCATGTCTGGCTGGCACTGGACTCAGACGAGGTTGGGCCCACAGATTCCCAGGATAAAAAACCCAGCTCAGGCCCAGATTTGAAAGAAGATGTTACGTCAAGGAATGGGGAGCAGAACCAGTTCTGCTCGGCTGGTTACATGACCCGGTACAAGCACAACCTCGCATTTGAAAAGCTTCTGACTCTGTTTTTGTGTTGACCTTCCCCCAAGAGAGTTACCCGAATAGAGACTTTGAAATGGAAGTGGGCTTTTATACTTGTTTTGAATACATCAAGATGAGAAAGGCCTTAGGAATGGGGAGTGGGTGAGGGGAGAGCCCAGGCTGTGGGAGGAGAGGAACCATTACGAAAAGATGGGTGGCGTGAGTGGGAAAAGGGGGATTTGCCAAAGGCTAGGCCCCCCCGCTGCATAGGCCGGGTTGGGAGCTGAAATAGGACTCAGAGTTGTTCTCTAGTTCTGTTTGGCCGAAGACAATCCCTGTCCCTCTAGGTACAACATGAATTCCTGGAACTTCTGCTCAAGACATGCCCCATTTCAGAAGTTTCTGCTGTCCCTGGGAAAGAAGAGCAAATGAAGAAAGGTGTTGCTTGGCTTAACCATCACAGGCCTGGGCATTGTTGCCTGGGCTGAGGACAGCGAGAGCTGATGCTTACAGACTGCTTTATGCTCTTGGCAGCGTTGCTCTAACTAATAACTCTGTGAGGTAGTTAAGGAAGGTGTTTTTATTCCCATTTTGCAGATGAGGCAACTGAGCTTCCGGGAGAGTAATGGGCTGGCCTAGAGTTAATCTATAGGAGAGCCAGGTCTGGCATAGCCTTCGTGATCTGAGTCCAAGTCTCGTTTCCCTACCGTGCTCTCTTGCTTTACCTGAAGGTGGGGAATGAGTCCAGGTTTAAATCTGTTTGGGGATAGACATACATCAAGACCATCGTGCCTGGTCTCCAGTCGCATACAGATGAGAAGACACTAGGTGGGGCCATTCCAGTGTGATTTTATTTCTTTGGCCCAGTGGTTTCATTCAGGTGGCTTGGAAGGCACGGAGATCGTCCTGGGTTCTGTTCACCTAGTCTCCACTGGTTCAAGTTTCTCTATCACAGAGGATATCCATTAGCTATAACAGTGCAGTTTTCACTGTGGGGAAATTGCTAGAGAAAGAAGAAGTAAGTTGAAGTAAGTTGGCGTTAAAACTTCACTGAGTGTTCTTGGTACCTTTAATATCAGTGAGTTTCCAGTGAGTCTGGGTCATTCCGTATCTTCTTGGTAGTCTCAGTGCCCTTGTGGTTACAAAAACTATGGGCCCTGGTCTTGTGCTTTCCAAGGGATTCTGTCCGCCTGGGTGCATGAGCACATGAGTGACTGTATCCAGCCTTCCCTTTTAGAGCTGCCAACTTCAGGAACTTTACCTTCATCCAACTGAATGGAGAGTTTTCTCGGGGAAAGGGACTTGATGTTGGAGCCCGCTTCTGGAAAGGAAGCAACGTCCTTCTCTTTTTCTGTGATGTCGATATCTACTTCACCGCCGAATTCCTCAATACATGTAGGCTGAACACACAGCCAGGTAAGGGTCTCTGGAGCCGGCTCTCCCCTTTCTCTCCCCTGCGGTGGTGCTTGGCTCTGTCACACTCACACTCATTTCTTCACAGTTTCCCTCTGATGTCCTGCTTCTGCACTGGCCCGATTTTACTGCCATGACCAAAAAAAAAAAAAGGAAAATCATCTGGTTTGATTTCTCCTTTGATGTCAGTGTGGGCCTGTCAGCCACCATAATTCTGGGACTTTTCGTCCTAAGTTCCAGTCTGTAACCCCTTTCCCATTTTCAGCTGGGATGTCAGCCCTAGTGAACATCCATGGGAGAAAGTGTGGTGGGAGAACAGGGGCTGGAAAGCTGTCTGAAACTAAAGGGAAAGGAGCGGCTGTGGGCGTGTACTAAGGGAGGAAGGGCTCGGAGCAGAAAGAACCCACAACAGGAAAGTGATTTTCATAGAGTTTGACTCGAACCAAGGCTGATATTCAGCTGATAACTACTGTTAAAATACAGAAGCTCTTCCATGTAAGCTGGTAAAGAGCAAGTACCCTGGCGTCCCTAAATCCACTCCTGCTTCCTGAAGTCACCCTGGCCCCTCCCGCCATCCTTTGGACTCCCACCAGGCGGGGGGTAGGCACCAGAACTCCCTCTTACGCCCGCCAGAGCCACCCACCGACTGTCAGTATTTTGAATACCACTTCTGTGCTAGGAGGTCAGAGATATTAGAGAGTCTGTCCATGTGGTCTGGGTGCGCAGAACTTCCAAGATCTGTTTTAGGGCTGAGTGATAAGAAAAGGAAAAGTGGATGCAAATACCTGGGCTATTTCCGAGGGCTGAATATAAGTGAACCAGCCTAATAGTTTTGTCTGTTGCTTTAAGTGAATGTTTGTTTCCTGGTTTGCAGGGAAGAAGGTATTTTATCCGGTCCTTTTCAGTCAGTACAATCCTGGCATAATATACGGCCATCACGAGGCAGTGCCTCCCTTAGAACAGCAGCTGGTGAGTAATCACCCCGCAGGTGCCTTCGCGTGGCTCTGTTTCATGTCTTTCATTACCAGGGGCGCCTGACCATGAGTAAAGGTGAGTGGAAATCTCTGGATTGATTCCCATAGTAATTTTTAAGTTTGGCAGACGTTCTGGCCCTTGCTCCCAGCGCCTTGTCCATTAAAAGTGCTTGCAATATTTAAAAGTGGAAAATAAATAGAACAGTACCTTACAGAAAGGTAATTTCACACCTTCATAGTTTTCTTATATGGTTTTTGGAAACTAGGATTATTGCATTATGGATGCAGCACATTTTCACTTTGTTATTACAAAGCTCCCAGGTAAGAAAGGTGACAGATGGCAAACAGAAGCCAGAAAGGGGTGGCTCAGCCCAGGTCACACGGTGAGTGAGTCAGTGGGGGACCAGATCCAGTGCCCGTCCCATCATGCCGCCATTCCCACATATCACAGTCCCTCTGGGGCATGGTCACCAGCAAGGTGGCTCTTAAAGGAACGTTGGAGGGGCTCCTCTGCTAAGATCGTGGGTTCACAGGTCATGGAGAGTGGAACCACACAGACACCAAGGATCTCCGTACGCTGAATGGTTTTGGTTTTGGTGGTGGTGGCGGTGGTTGGAGGTGGTAGTGGCGGTGGCGGCAATGAGCCCGTTTAACAGAGAAGCAGTGCAGGCAACAGGAGGATGAGGTAAAGCCAGGAGAGGGCCTCTGTAACGCGTGTAGGCTCGCCCTTCGGAGATGAAATTCCCCATTATTGTTGTCACCCCCAACTTGGACTCTGACCTTTTCCTGCAAAGAGATCAGCTGGGTGTGTCTAAAGCTGTGTTCCAGCTCAGGCTAAATATCAGGAGACAGCTGACCTGGGGCTGTCTGTTCTTCATTGCCTTGAGGGTCTCTGTCTCGAGGCAACGCTGTGTCTCTTCCCACTGAGTACGTCTTAGGGTGAAGAAGGGAAATCTGCTGTGTGAACATGAAGATGGGAAGGAACCAAGTCTCTCTCTCATGCTTCCGTGCAATGGGAGAGTAAATTGATTTTCATTGAAAACATGTGTTCTTTGAAATTCGTTCGGAGGACTGATTCTGTCTTTAAGCTTCCAGAAGTAGCAAAACCTGTTCTCTCTGGCCCCATCCCTCCAGTAAACCTCTGGCAGCTGATGCAGTGATCTTTTCCAGGTTTCAGCTTGGGTTCCGTGAGGTTGGATGAGGTTTACTCCTCACCCTTCCCAGCATGGTTTCCCTTTGGGCCCATGCTGCACGATATGGTAATAATATAGTTCTCTCTTCCCCCAGTGAAATTCCGACACCACAGATACACTGAATATCTGTTTATGTAACTATGTGTATGTGTGCTGTATATGTCAACACGGTAAGAGTTTTTCATTCCCCAAGAATCAGTTTTTATCTACTTTAGGGTGATACCGCTTCTGTTGAGACACAAACCTTCTTCTTTCCTTTCCATGAGTTCTAAGCTTCCACTAGAGTTTGAGGGGCAAATGGGATACAGGATTTATTTTCTTTCAACCAATCAGAATATAAATTCCTTTGGTTTTAAATAAAGTACTTCTTTACATTTGACTTCAAATGTGATTAATGTTTCAACTTCAAACTCATAAAGATCTTATTTACTTGCAAGGAATTCTTTTCATTCCACACTTTAAAAGTTTTATCCTTTTATTACCATTCCTGCAAAGAAGCAGGTGCAAAGGGAAACTACAAGTTTCCCTAAGCCAGTTTCTCAGATCCCCAGAATTAATGGTCAAGCAGAAGCAGAACTCAGATGGCTGTGTGCATAGCTAGAGCCTCAGAATTCTCCTGTAACTGGGGACATTTACTTCCAAATATACCCTAGAGCTTTTCTAGAGCATGACAGTTTGCTGTTAGGGTTCAGTATTCATGACGAGTCAGTGCGGAGAAACACAGCAGTTGTCTCTGAGACACAGGAGGTTCTCCATCCACAAAAGGAAAGTGTTGATTATGTTTGTTATTGGATGCACCATTTTTGGAGCCCTTGCTGCCTGCAGAGAACTCGACTGGACATTCTAGAGGAGTCAGAGGAACTGAAGGAGTTTCGTATGTTTGGGAGTGACTGGGGAGGAGGTCACTTTACTCTCTTGTTTTTGTAGACTTGCCCAGGATCACACAACCAGCTAGTAGCAGAACTCAGGCCCAAAGCAGGATTTCCTTACCCTAGTGCAGTGGAAGCAAATCTTGGCTTAGGATCTAGATGAGGGCTGAAATATAAAGGAAATGATCTGACAAAAATTCCAAAGGAGAACATCAAGCTACAGAGATTAATTTAATGGAGACAGAATGTGTAGGTGCTGAGAAGGTATAAAATAAAAAGAGATGGTTAGGGATGGTAAGTTAGGAGAAACTTCCTAGCAAGGGTTCATTTTGGCTCGGTCCTGAAAGATCTGAGACCTATAGATATTCTTGAGAGCCACCCCTGGCTCAAGGTGGAGGGAGAACACAAGTCCAGAAGGGAGCTATGACAAAAAGTACTCACAGATGCAAACACAAGACAGGTGTTCCAGCAGCCCTGCGAATGTGACCTCATTAGTCCCCGTGTGGGTCATTGCTTCTCAGGCTGTGGCCACTGCTGTTTGATAACACTTTGTCTTCAGACTAAAGCCAGAAGCCACATTCCTGGTGTGTGTGTGTGTGTGTTTGTGTGTGTGCGTGCATTCAGACTACTTGTTTCTTTACTTTTGAGTACAGACCATTAATAATTAGAAGTATGTGAAATCATGGGATTTTATGCTAACATTCAGTTTCTTGAGTTGTAAACCTGAGATAAACCTTGCTGATGCTTTAATGTAGAAACAGCTCAGAGAGAAAGGAATGACTCTGATTTAAATAATTATTAACTTTAGATATTCCACTTTCCTAGTTCAAGCCTTGTTCATGCTGGGGCCACTCCTGCCTCCTCCGTCTATAGACCCTTTCCCTCCCCCTATCATCCGGTCTTTCCTTCACCTTCTTTCCAAAACACAGATTAATCCCATTTTAAATCATCTTTTCTGGCCTAAAGCCAGTGGTGTGCTAGTAAATGTGTAACAACCCACTCTCTGAGAAAGAAGGGGAAGAAAAAGCCCTGATTCATTGTGTTTGCCATTTTCCATGCTGTCAGTACCCTCACCGTGGCCTGGGGAGGCCCTAGAGTGACGTCACTGGATGCACAATCCTGGTGAGCTGGGTGGGGCGGGCTCCATCACAGCCCCGCAGCCTTGATGCCTTGTTGGGGTTAACCGCTCCCCACGCTGACTCTGACACTGGTGACCGAGGAAATGGCTGCAAACGCCAGCACCTGGCGTGTGGTCCCCGCTCGACAGACACCCCACTCTGCCGCTCTGCCAGGCGAGCATACCTGCCCCGCTTCTCCGTGTGCTGACCTTCCCCTCGGGGCCCTCTCCTCACTGGGAGATGCCCTTGCTGCCTGACACCTCAGTCTGCCCTGCACCCCACCCATCATTTAAATCCAGCGACTCTGTGCTACTCTGTCCAGTGTGTAAGTGGTGTACTGACTCCCATCCTCACCCTCTGTGATTCTGTACCCTGCCTGTCTCCCCCCTTCCAAGAAGTATTTTACCACTAATCTGCATTTCAGTTTAAATGTCTAAAGCTTGCTGACTGGGCACAGCCCATCCTTTTAGTCTGCTTCTGTATTTTCGGGAAGAAGGCACTCACTGAGTACCAAGAGTAGTATTAACAGATGCCATCCACAGCCTATCGGAAGCCAGCACGGTGCCCGCTTTCTTTCGTGGAATAGCCAGTAAGGTGGAGAGGCATTATTATGCTCGTTTCACAGATGAAACCTTGAAGCTCAGAGGCATAAGTCACTGCTCAGATTGCTGAGTGAGTGAGAGGGTTGGGAACTCGAGGCCTGCCCTGTGTGATGGGGTCGGGGCTGAGGATGCTGAGTGGCAACGACAGGTTCTTTGGCCTCAGAGTGCTTCAAAAGACACTTTATTCTTTTTAAGCAGATACCAATAAAAGAAGACTTGTGGGAAAATGTGGGTTAGTACAAAGCTTGCAGGAGGTGGCTTTTGAGTCCATTCTTAGACCAATTCTGTGAAAGCTTGTATTTCTCAAGAAATGGAAATGGTCCCAGCAATCCTGGTGTTGGTCTGGGCTCAGCCACAACCGGCTGAGTTAGCTTGGCCAAGTCATTCTACCTCCACACTATAAGGCACATGCCTACCCCACGCAGCCTCCCTCCAGGCCCCGATAATAAGGAATGTACCATGTGGGGGCAGGGGGCACCCAACCCAGCCACCAAAGCCCTTGAAGCTTGGGGTGTCTGCTGGTCACAGGCAGGACTGGCTCCATAATTGGCGTGGCCCAGTGCACGATGAAAGGACAGGGCGCTGGCTCAGGAATTATTAAGAATTTCAAGAGCATTAAAGCAGGCAGGGCCTCCTCTGAGTGTGGGGCCTGGGGGCTGCACCGGGTACGTACCACCGGCGTTTCTCATGAATGTGAGCCTGGGCAAACACAGCCTTGGTGCTTGGGAGGCTCTCTTTGATTTAGAGGAAATACTCTCCCTGAGTATTTGTTATTTATTTTATTTCAGGGCCCAGATTGCTTCGCGGGTGCTTGTCCAAGTCCGCACCATTAAACCAACAGGCACTGACTGCCTCCCAGCTCCCCGTGCAGCTGCAGGGCGCCGCCTTCCCACATCTCTGGGGAGAGACGCTGGTTTGTGCTTTGTGCTCTGGTCCCGATAGAAAAGAATCACCCCCGTCACATGAATCGCCCGCAGAGCTGCGGGTCTGGAAACTTCCTGTGGGAGAGCGGGCTTGACAGCTGTCCTTTGTGGTGTGTTCATGCCCTGCAGGGCTCTGCCGAGATCTAAGGTGGGGAGAGAGCGGGGGCTGCCGAGAGTTGAGAGGAGGCCAGCCCTCGAGAGACATTTTTTAAAGTGAGGATAGCACTTGAAAACAGATCGACAAAATTGAGGACAGAAGATGTTTTTCTTTGAACATACAATCTTTATCTGAGGGTTTCTTCCTCCTCTGTGTAGTAAACATCATTGGTGTGTATCTTTTCGAAGCTTGAACAGAGCAGTGGAGCTTCTCATGCCTGGAGCGGAGGCTCTAAGCAGGAGAGCCCCCTGCTCAGAGCCCAGAAAGGTGAAAACGTTTTTGTCTGTGCGTCCAAAGCCACACGATGCTCAGTTTTCTCACTGGAATTCCTAGGCCTTCGCTGAGCCGCTCAAGAGTTCCCTGCTTGAACCATGTCTGTTCCCACTGACATGGAGCCCTCTCTGCCCTAGGAGTGCTCCTCATTCTCTCATTGGAGAAGCATTTATTGAGCACCTGCTGTGTGCTGGACAGTGATCTGGGGGCTGTGAACGAGCCCAAGGCCCTGGGCTTATGTTCACCAGTGGTGGTAGGTAAAGATGGAAAAGAGAGGAACAAATGCATCAACGGGATAATTTCAGAGAGCTGTTAAGTGTTATAGAGAAAATAAACCAGGTGACAGGTTAGAGAGTGACATGGTGGTGACGGGGGTGGAGGTGTGTGCTGACACTAGCTGGGAGGGTCAGTATGACTGCTTTAGGCAAGTGACATTGGAGCAGAGCCTGGTGGTGAGCAGGGAAAAGGTGACCCAGGTCAGGGATCTGCAAGTGTCCAGCCTTAGAGACCTGTGAGCCTGGTGTGTTCTTGGGGCAGAATAGAAGGAGATTCTGCATGAGGGGATGAGATGGATGAGGCAGGCAGGGGTCAGGTCACATAGGACCTTTGCAGGCTAGAGGTTTTCTCTGGGTTTTATTCTAATTGCATTAGCGAGAATTGCAATTAAAGCCCCTGCAGGGTTTTAAATTGGAACGTGCTGTGATCTGATGTGTGCTCTAGAGCGCTCACTCCCAACGAGGCTGCCGGTCGAGGGCACGGTGCCAGTGACTCGGCCCAGCTGAGGGTGGTAGAGCCTGTCAGAAGTGAACCCCCTCTCGCCCTGACGTTCTAAGCCATGGGTAGGGTATGAGCAAACCCGTTTCCACCAAGGGCTCAATCTCAAGGAGCATTTCAGATAGTGGCTTTTTCTGGCTTGCCAACTTAAAAGCCGACATTAATAAGTGTTTATAGAATGCGTTCCCCAGGGCGCCTGGGTGGCTCAGTTGGTTAAGCGGCTGCCTTCAGCTCAGGTCATGATCCCAGGATCCTGGGATCGAGTCCCGCATCGGGCTCCCTGCTTAGTGGAGAGCCTGCTTCTCCCTCTCCCTCTGCCTGCCTCTCTGCCTACTTGTGCTCTCTCTCTCTGTCAAATAAATAAATGAAATCTTAAAAAAAAAAAAAAAAAGAATGCGTTCCCCAGCTCATAAATCAGTTTGTACCTGTCCCACTGTCCCCAGGTGAGGGTCACTCTACCTTGTTCAGTCTTGCCGGGCACCGCATCCACAGCCCAGGTCTGGGGTCACCACCTCTTGCAATCCTTCTTGTGTTTCCTCCCAAGCGCTGGCCCATTGTGCTTCCTGTTTGGAGCATTCTTGTTTAGATTCCATATAGACCTCAGCCAAATGCTTGACGTTTGGTTACTGGCCCTTCTCTTTGACTCCATTTTTATCCAGAAGCTTAGAGGACTTGTCTGTTTGTGTCCTGGCCAGCAGAAAGATACTAAGCCAGGAGCTGCAACAGAAACCGTGTACCTGGTATGAAACAAACTGTTCTTTTAAAAAATGACTCAGTAGAGATTTTCCCAAACTTTCCTTCCCTGCAAAATCTTTCCAGCTGATACTAATGAAATTGCCTTGTCACTTGGGAGATATTGTGTTACAGGCTTTTGTTCCGAAGAAGAACTGGAGCACATCTGCTGGGACCACCCTAACTGACAAAACCTCTCTCGGTCCTCACGCTCCCTCAGCAGCCCTGACGCCCGCGCCCCCTCAGTGCAGGCCATGTCTGTGAGGAGGTTGTAGTGAAGATAAGCTGGTTTCGTGGATTACAGAGCAAAAGAGTTTTTAAGTGCACAGTCCTTCCATGAGCCATATATGGAATATAACCGAGGCTGTGATGGAGATGACTTGGAACTTCGGGGAGGTGGGAGAGCAGTGAGGATGGATGTTTGGATGGTAGAGCTAGAATAGACCTTAGCGGAGATTTAGCTCAACCTCCTCTATTTTATTTTATTTTATTTCTTTTTAAAAGATTTTATTTATTTATTTGAGAGAGAAATAACGAGAGAGAGCAGGAGCGGGGAGGGGGGAGGGCAGAGGGAGAAGCAGGCTCCCCGCCGAGCAGGGAGCCCGATGTGGGGTTCAATCCCAGGACCCCGGGATCATGACCTGAGCCAGAGGCAGATGCTTAACCGACAGAGGCACCCAGGTGCCCCTTATTTTTTTTTATTTGGGGGGGAAGGGCAGAGGGAGAGAGACACTCTTAAGCAGACTCAATGCCCAGTGCAAAGCCCCATGCAGGGCTTAATCTCAGGACCCCGAGATCATGACCTGAGGTGAAATCAGGAGTCGGATCTTAACCGACTGAGCCACCCAGGCGCCCCTCAACCTCCTCACTTATAGGAAAGGAAGTAGAGGCTCAAAGAAGAGTGAAGGACCTGCCTGAGGCAGAAAAGCCAGCCAGTGGTCAAGTTGGGAGGAGACCCTGGTGCATCCCCCCTGCTGCACACAGTCTCTGATGAGCAGCAAAGGGAGCCAAGACTTGGCAGGCAGAAAATGCAGAAATCCCAGTGGAGGGGGAACCTGCTTCGGCCTCCCTTTCCCTTCCCCGAGAGGTGACTTTCTCCACTGAGCACCTCTGTTAACCTCAAGAATGAGAAATAACTATTAAGGTCTCAAAACAAGCCCCAGAATTACCTCAGCCAAAAAATTAAACAAATGTTTTAAAAAGTCTTGCTGCTTTAGCAAATGCATTGGAAATTTACTTGCAGAGTGAGAGACTGAGCAGGACCAGGTCTCGCTTTTGGAAGACAGTTGCTGCTTGGACGGCCTCTCGGCAGCCCTTCAGCCTGGCACCACCACAGATGCTTTTGGGCGCAGTTTGGTTTTAAAATAGCTTAAAGGTGAATGGACAGAGACTTTCTTCAGAACCTGGACTCTTGGTGCCCTTTACTTCGGCGAGTGAGAGTTAGCAGAGCCGAAGTAACACACTGCCTTCTCGGGTTTTCTTTTTATTCCCCGAGGGAGTCCTGTGTGTGCCCTGTGCCAGAGCAGCTGAATTCCGAGTTGTTCTCTCTCCCTTTTCTCCACTTTCTGAGCCCTTTGCTGGCTCCCCGCCTGGCCCTGTGTGAGGGGCTGAGGCCTCTGATTCTCTCTGGCACTGGTGTCGGGCCAGACACGTAGGTGGCTTTTCCATGGCGCTGCTCAAAAACTTGCTCTCCTGGTTTGTTTTTGAGTGTGTGTGTGTGTGTGTGTGTGTGTGTGTGTGTGTGTGTTTTCATGCCTACACCCTAGAAACATTCCAACCAGACGTGACAAAACTCACAAGGCCCATTTTGGAACTGGTGAGTTCAGTGTATTCCTACCCGGTGGAGAGGACTCAAATCCAGCTGCGTTTCCCACACGGTTGTGCTGGCTCTTTATCAGTGGGGGGCCGGGCCCCCCATGTAGCAGTGCTTACATGAGTGTGGGAATACGCTCTACTTCTATCCACTCAAAAGACAGTGCTTTCCCTGCAGGTCATAAAGAAGGAGACTGGATTTTGGAGAGACTTTGGATTTGGGATGACCTGTCAGTACCGCTCGGACTTCATCAATATAGGTAAGTCAGAGGGACTGGCCCCAAGCCGGCACCTCTGCTGCCGCCCAGAGGCCGTGAGCAGCCCAGGAGGGGGCCGGGCAGGGTCCCAGGAGTTGGAAGGCAAAGGTGGTGCCATTTCCTAAGAAGAGGCCGTTCCTCTTGTCAGGGATCTGGGGGCCGGACCAGGACGAGGCTTGGGAGTGGGCGACACACGAGCCCCTCTAATCTCCACCAGACCCTCTCGGTCACCCCAGATGCGGCACACAATCTGAGGGAAAAGGCAGTTGTTGCAGAAAGGCAGCTTCAAAGCAAGTCTCCACCCCTCTACCCCCACCCCATGCCTCCTTCTGACCTAGTTCTGGCTCTGGTCCCTCTCCTGCAGAACATTCTGGGCCTCCACAGTAGCGGGATCCACTGGAGAAAAATAAGGACAACATGGGGAATTTTGGAAAATCGCATATGGAAAAGATTCAGATTTCTCTCTGCTGAACCTTTGAAAATTCCAGATACTGCTTCAAGCTCCGACTGAGTGTTTAGTCACTGTCAACACTCACAAACACACACACACACACACACACACACAGGTTCCCAGAGCACTGAGAGGAAAGGCCCTTTAGGTTGCAGTTGAAGAGACCAAGGGCAAAGGGACCACACAGCAAGTGAGGGTTGTTGGAGGAGAACAGAGCATTTCCTGTCCCCCTTGGAAATACCACCCCTCTTCCCATAGTGGTACCTACTCATGTGCCTCAAAACAAACAAAATTATGGATTATACTTGACCAGGATCTGAATGAACAAGCCAGAAACTTTGATCTTGGGCTCAGGGGCTCAGAGTAGACCCTGGCTTGGGGTCAGGGAAGCTCCGCCCTCACAGAGCATGGAGGTTTGCATCCCCCCCCATCTTTCTTTCTAAAGCAGGTTTCCATTTCGAGAAACTCTGTGTTTCCTTGCTCTATGTACAGGGAAAGATTATTTTGTGATGGTGTATGTTTATCAAATTTGAATTTATAATAAATTGGATTTTCCTAAGGATGGGGCATGGCTGCATTTGAAACATGGGGGGATGCTAGGCTGGTGAGGGTGCTCTTCCTCCGTGAGCCATTGACATGACCTCAGAATCTCTGGGTCACATCTGGACCCCGGTCATTCTTTGCCATCTTGTAGTTATTTGTAGGCATCTTACTTTTGCTCCGTCTATTTACTAAGTTGTAATGATACCGATGATAATAAATCAGTTACAGCTAAGCAAGCGCTGCCCCTTACATGACTATCTCATTTGGTTATGACATCTAGTTCACTTCAGGATAAAGGAACCACAACTCAAGAGAGGTGACGTGGCCGAACCAAGACTCAAATTCCAGACCCCCGACTCGATATCGTATACCTGCCCACCATGGGGTCCGAAGGTTGTGGGGGGGCGGTGGGCACAGGTCACTTGCATACAGAACCCAGCCATGGGCAGGCTGCAGTTTTCCCTGTGCGTGAGCCCCCCTTCCGGGCCCAGTGACGGCCTTGATCAGAGCAGTGCAGCGTGGGGGCTCCATGGGGGCTCTGGTGGAAGGTGCTGAGGATGACTTCACTATTTCTTGTAGGAGTTAAATAAAGCTCCTAGGTGAGAAAGGAACAATGACAAAAAGGGGCAAGTCTTCTCTGGTTCTGTTCGGCTCACAGTGGGCTTTAGGTTAAGAAAAGACATGGGGCATCTCAGTTTACAAAGGTGAGCCTTGAGGGGCCCGTTAGGCACTTTGGAGGAGTCCACCATGAAGCACGGTGAGACCAGTCCCTTAAACATGAGTCACGTCACCAGCCTGGGGCGGCCACACAACCTTCGGGACCATTTCAGTCCATGAAGGGCAGAGTGTTCTGTGGGACGTAATTTTGTTCACGCTGGGATCCCGTTGCTCTGTCAGGCAGCAAGCCCCTGCTTCCCTCGGCTTGAATGACAGGAGGCCACGTTCGAACAGATGCAAGAGTTTTCATCCTGGGGGCTCAGGCTGCTCGTTCGCCTCGCCACTAGCTCGTGAAGGCAGGTGGGCGTTGGGAAGCAATGCTCCTTGCGGTCTTGGGATCTCCAGGAGTTGGTGCCAGCTGCCCCTGCCGTGGAGTTCCCTGTTCAGGATTTCTGAATTCTCTTTCCTGGATGGACACGCTCCTCGTTCGGAGGGGCAGTAAAGCATCTCCCCTGGATGCTGCTTCTCTGCGTGCGAAGTGCTGTGCTGGTGCAGGTGCGGAAAGCCGGTCTAGACCGGGAGGGGGCTGCACGACTTGGTTCAGCGCTGTGTTCTCTCCCGACAGGTGGCTTCGATTTGGACATCAGAGGCTGGGGCGGAGAGGACGTGCACCTCTATCGCAAGTATCTGCACAGCAACCTCATCGTGGTGCGGACACCTGTGCGGGGGCTCTTCCACCTCTGGCACGAGAAGCACTGCGTGGATGAGCTGACCCCCGAGCAGTACAAGATGTGCATGCAGTCGAAGGCCATGAATGAGGCGTCCCACGGGCAGCTGGGGATGCTGGTCTTCAGGCACGAGATAGAGGCTCACCTTCGCAAACAGAAACAGAAGACAAGCAGCAAAAAAACATGAACTCCCGGGGCTAGATCTGGGGAGACCTTTTATTTTTTCCCTTTTGTGATTACCGAACACGTGGCTGTGACAAGGAAAAGATTTCCCTAAAGGGCAAAAGAAGAATTCAACTGATTAGTAAAAGAGAGGAGCGGGGAGAGCCTCTGATTTCTCTCTGCCTATTTGGCTGGACGCAACAGGAATTAAAATCTCCCACTTTGCCTGCAAAAGTAGCCCAAATGCATCCCGAGCGGTGTCTGACAAAGGCAGAATGATTGTGAGGTTATAAGCCCGATGGCGTGGAGGTTTTGATTGTGTTTACAGCAAAGTGAGAGCTGTTACCTTTTGTGCTTATTGAAATAGTCACGAATTAAGACCAGTTTTATCAAAGTTCTTTGGGATGAGAGGCAAGCCCATGTCTCCCCCTAGGAATGATTACATGGTAGGGCTCTAGTGCCCGGAAGTGCTCGTGAGACTCGGAGATACACTCACAGCGATCCTTGCGAGTATATTTAAGCAAAACCAAATGGACTCGGAAAAAAAAAAGAACTATTGTGTCATTTCCATCCAAGATTAACCAAAAATAATCTGCTCATCTTTTTTATTATAGTTTTAACCATCCCCATTTCTTAATTTTATTTAAAAATGCACTTTTTTTTGCTTATGAGTTATATTCTGCTTATTTAATTACCAATTTGCAAGCCTTACTAAGAGAGCACAAGTTAGCATACGTTTTTTATATCTTTTAAGAAGATACTTGTAGGTGTATTATGAGAACTTTTTGTTCAGATCGAGCCCCATATCCAAGGACACACCAAATGCTGATCCCATCAGACACTGAATGTCAGACCTTTGGTCACGTGGAAGGCATGGTGTGGGGCTACTGATACATTGAGACATAGAGATACTTTATCCAAGAGTATTTCCCAAGAGGAGCAACTGAACACTGGAGGGAAAGAAAGATATACTTTTTACCTTAACAGAAAAGGAAATTCATTCAGACTGGTAATACCTTGATTTATTGAAAAGTCAGAAAACACATTTTCTCCTCAGGAGAACTGGGGACCACTTTCTTAGCTGTTTAAATAAACCAAAGTATACTGTGTGAACCAAACTATCTTTTTTCAAAGCAGGGTGCTCTTCCTGGCTGCTGGCTTTTATGAAAAGAAATGCAGAAAAACGTATTTTGTGAAAGATCACTCCATCTGCCAGAGTCAAGTGGGATGGAGGATTTTGCTACACGTTCACCCACCCCAATCTAGGGGAAAGTAACTATTTTTTAAATGAAACAGTTCTACTTAGTCGCCAAAATGCTTCTGAAAATCACATTTTATTACAGTTTCCAACTATTTAAAAAAAATACAGTTAACATTGAGTGGTTCTACATTCATGTGAAAATTATTTACTTATTAGCCAGCACCAGATGCATGAGCTAATTATCTGTGATTCCTTGCCTTCTGTTTGCCCACAGTCAACTCATTGTTTAAAAGCCTCAAGAACATTCAAGCTGTTGGTGTGTAAAAAAAAAAAAATGCATTGTATTGATTTGTACTGGTAGTTCATAAAATTTAATTAAAACACGGGACATGAATGGAAGGTGGCATTGGACAGCTAATAAAATATGATTTGTGGATATGATTTCTTCTTGGAGTTAAGAATGCCATGTCTTTAGTTTTAGGAAAACATTTTTTATGTGTAGAGACTGGGGTTTCTGCTACAGACATTTTGGGCTAGATCAGTCTTTGTTGTGTGTGTGTGGAGGGGTGGCGCTGTCCTGTGCATTGTAAGATATTTAGCAGCACCTCTGGCCTTCACCCACTGGATCCCAGGAGCATCTCTCACCTGGGTTGACAACCAAAATGTCTCCAGTCATTGCCAAATGTCCCCTGGAGGGAGGGCACAAAACCGCTGTCCTGTTGAGGACCACTGGTCTAGACGGAGAGAACCACAAGGAAAAACCTGGCTGTTAATACATTTCACTTGTCCTTTTCAGTTAGAAGAAATTGAGAAATGATTTCTAAGGTCCCTTTCTAACTGGGTTTCATATTTCCACATGCAGTGGTGATACTAGAGACTCGGAGCACGCGTGGGCTCCCCTGCAGCAGTTCTGACGGCTTGGGGGACTGGCCGCACACTCCGGGTCAGAGGACGCCCTTCCAGCGAGGCCGGCGGCAGGGGGCAGGTGCTGTGAGCGTGCAGTTCGGCAGGTCTAGTTGTCCTGCAGACCGTGGGGTCCGGCTGTGCTCTGTGGGCCAACCAGGGTGCCTGAGGCAGTGACGAAGACTGGAGTTTCAGCAGTTGGTTAAGAATTGTTGAGGGTAGGGTGCCTGGGTGGCTCAGTTGGTTAAGCGACTGCCTTCAGCTCAGGTCATGATCCTGGAGTCCTGGGATCGAGTCCCGCATCGGGCTCCCTGC